TAATACTTTTCTTGATGCTACTGTGATGCTTAACATTTCTGTTCTTAATACTTCACTCCATGTCACTTCAACTTAAGTTTTGTCCCACAAGCCCTCGATGGCTTTGACGAACCTGCATTAATTTCGACTAGTATCAAAGAGGAGCAATAAACTTTATTATTATTACTATTATTATTATTATTATTATTATTATTATTATTATTATTATTATTACTTTGTTTTATGTACTAGCCCGCCATCAGGCCACATGCGAAATGCACAGCGCCATCTATACTCCGTGTCACTAGTTGCATGCAGTGCAGGCGAAGGCAACGCCAGGCGGGGGAAGAAACAGCAAGCACTAGGAAGGCTGGGGAGAAGGAGAGAAGTCTCCTCACCTATAGCGCTCTCTAACGTCCCCAGTACCAGTACTCTCCCTTTCTCCCCTCGCCCTCCATTGGCTTCCTCTCCCGTCCTGCATGCTAGCGCTCGCCGTTTCTATCTTCGCCCGGCGTTGCCTTCGCCTGCACTGCACACAACTGGGGCGCCGAAGAACATGCTCCGTCTCTCCAGTTAGCTTCGGTGCTGGCAAAGGCCAGGCCGCGAAAGTGTAGTTCTGAAGAATCCTTTGTTCGCACAGGCACTCAGGTAGAAAGAGGGCGTTTTCGAAAATCAGGCGCCCGCGAATGCCCCTTTGCCCACACTCAAAGCCGACTTTCGAGCTGAAGTGTACGTCCGCTATGCTGGTTGCGGCGAGAAACCAGTGACCAGTGGGATGACGAGCACGTGCATACGTGCGCACGAAGGGCATAAAACAATACTAACGTTTAGCTCGCAGGTGCGGGTGAGGATCGATGACGGTGAACAGTAGATCTCGATTGTTACCGACAACACTATGAAATCGACAAACAGCAGAGGAATTGCGACGCAACAAAGATGGTAGCGCATGGAGTGTTGCCAGGCGTTGGAACAATTTCGCATATGGTCTATTGTTCCAAGATAGTAGGCGGCATTTGTACACTTGGTTTAATCGTAATTCAGAACGCAGTCGAAGGATACGCGCAAACGCATACACCCAAACAAAAACGGCTTTATGTCGAGGTCGTAGAAAAGGTAGGTTGAGGTGTTTCCCCCCTCCCCCCCCCCCCCTTTTTCTTTTTTTTTTCTTCTGCCGCTTTAAATAATAATTTTTGTGCCCCAGCATCTGGCTAATGTTATTATGGTGAGAGTCCCTGAGGTCGCATGCACGCTAGCATCATTTAGACAGTGCTGTTTACGAGAACAAATACAACGGATGTTCACACTTGACATTTGCCTTTCTTTTGTAATTCAGCACGAGGTGGCATTGATTCTTGTAAGTACTTTTTGATATCGAATTACTTCTAACAAAAAGTCAATTGGTCCAGGTGTATGACCTTAAACAAAGATAATGTGGCTAATTACTAAAAAAAATGCTGGTTTAACTCAAGAGTTACCACTTACATTCAGCGTTGGGGTAACCTTCCTACAGCTATCGCCGCGTAAAAAAAAAAAAAAAAATTCTTGAGAATTATTTTTTAGGTTGAGATTACATTAGTCAGTTGATTTCATGTGTGTTTATAGTCTCACCTAACTTTGCACTGTCGAATCCGCGGATTAATTTCCTCGAAGAGTTGTTCCCGCGATTGACCCTTCAATCGCCTTTTCTTGTTCCGGCTGAACAGCGCTCAACCCAGTCCTTGTGTGCGGCGTGCCCAAAGTGGCCAACATGGCCGATCTCTCCAGCGTCTGTTCGCACATTATTTACACGGGGGACATGAGCATCATCACTGATGGCGTCGACTTTTCCCTTACACCCACTGGTAAACAATGTTTCTTTTTTTTTTTTTGTATAATAAATAACAATTAAAAAAAATTAAAGGGAGACGTTTGAACGCGAAGTCTCCTCCAAAGCAGTACTTTTTTCGTCCCAGGAAACAGTAAAATTTAAGCAGCTTAATACTCTCAAATGTTATTTGTGTCTGCTTTTAGTGTTCATTTTCACGCATACATTGTTTCGCATCATTGTGTTATGGTTACTGTAACACTGCCGAGTAGATGTTAATGTTAAGACATTATTTCGGTGCAGTCATTTGCCGCGCACTCCCTAACAATCACAGTCTTCGACCCATCGAAGCGGCTAGATTAATATTGTTTAGCCCAGTATTCAGTGTTCTCGATATTTAAAGTACTGCGTTTATCATCACCGAACATATTAGGCTGGGGCTGTCGCCTCTTATTTGGAGTTTCCCCAAGTGTAGGTCCTTTTGTCACTTTTCTTAAACTGCTGTCAACTCGAATAACTCTTCTAAATAAAAGCGTTATATTAGCTCCTGGAGTCTAATACGATCTATATAAACCTCTTGAAAAATTAAGTTCTCTTGCGGACGATCTGAAAAGACTGCAAAATGGCGGGCGCAAAAAGAAACACCAACAAGCTGGCAAGTCTATAACTGATATAACCCTCACCCCCAAAGCGCTCATGGCTCACGCCACTTTGCGGTATTTTCAGATTGGCCGAAAGAGGGCGCAAGTTCTGAACGGGTCTATTAAAATAATACGCAGCACAACAGAGCATATCAATTACTTTTTTTTAGAGCGCAGCTCTTAGGGGCCCGTTTCCGGCTTGAGCGGCGTCGCCGTCGCCGTCGCCGTCGGCGTCGGCGTAACCGCGCGGTGCATCATGGGAAATGTCCCATAATGCACCGCGCGAGCGCCCCGCCGGGGTCACGTGACCTCGTGGGGGGCACGTGACCCCCCCCGAGGCCACGTGACCCCGAAGTCACGTGACTCCCCTGAGGTCACGTGACCCCCTCCTCGAGGTCACGTGACCCCCCGATGTCGTGTGACCTCCCGATGACGTTGTAGCCCCCGAGCTACAAGGACGAGAACGACAGAGAGATCGGTGTGTTTCGGCGCCACGCGATTCGTGGCGGGTGCCACGAGAGTCAGTGAGATTCGGGGTGACGTGGTGCACGGACGTTCTACGATGGCCCGCTCCTGCATCGCAACTAACCATTTGTAAATATTGTAAATATAAATGTAGTTACACAAAACCAAGCACGCTACAACGTCATCGTCACTGATGACGTCACCGGCATCCATATCGTCATCGTCATCATCACTGATGACGTCACCGGCATCCACATCGTCATCGTCATCATCACTGATGACGTCACCGGCATCCACATCGTCATCGTCATCATCACTGATGACGTCACCGGCATCCGCATCGTCATCGTCATCATCACTGATGACGTCATCAGTGACGTCACTGATGACGTCACCGGCATCCACATCGTCATCGTCATCATCACTGATGACGTCACCGGCATCCACATCGTCATCGTCATCATCACTGATGATGTCACCGGCATCCACATCGTCATCGTCATCATCACTGATGACGTCACCGGCATCCACATCGTCATCGGCATCATCACTGATGACGTCACCGGCATCCGCATCGTCATCGTCATCATCACTGATGACGTCATCAGTGACGTCACTGATGTCGTCACCGGCATCCGCATCGTCATCGTCATCATCACTGATGACGTCATCAGCGACGTCACTGATGACGTCAACGACATTCGCATCGTCATCGTCATCATCACTGGTGAAGTCACCAGTGACGTCACTAATGACGTCATCGGTACCCGCATCGTCATCGTCACTGATGACGTCATCAGTGACGTCAGTGATGACATAATCGGCATTGGGGGTCACGTGACCCCCCAAGGTTACGTGACCCCCCCCTGGTTAGTTTAACCCCCCCAGTGCCCTTCCCTCCTCCTCCTCAAGAGCTGCGCTCTAATTCGGCGTTACAGGGAGTTGTAAGCGGCTTTCACTTTTTTTGTACAAAAGTTACCTGCTTTTGCATGACAATTATTTCAAAAGCCATTAATGAGGTAATATCTAGGGAATGACACTTCTGACACGAAATGAGGATTGCATAATATAAAAGTCCTTCGCGTACAATATTATTTTTATTTTTAGCAATCGGATATTCTAATTTACAATATAGGGTGTTTGAAATGTCGAGGCTCGATGTAAATTAGGCCGTAAAAATCGGTGCCTGCACGTAGCAATCTAAAATTTTCGTCAAAGGTGTATTTCACAGGTAGGTTATATCTTGTAAAAAAGCGTAACACCTTTTCTCTAAAAAATATGGACAAAAATACTTGCCAGGGTCGATGGCAAATGGCGATGCAGATGACCGAGTCGAGTGGTGGGGCGCGTTTAGCGCACGTATTGATGATGGCGCTACCTGCTAGTTCCGGCTTGCTCTAAAATAATATCAAAACTGCTTGTGGTTTATAAAAGGAACATAATATTTTTGTAATAAATCTTTGGTTTCAAATTAAATTCGGAAAATTGTAGCAAAAACTTGAAGTAACAAAAACAAAGGAAAACGCGGTTGCATGACGGCGCTCTTGCTGCCGACGGATTTCGTCAGAGTGTCGTCTGCTTTCTTTCCCTGGTCGGCTACACGTTCCGACGCTGCTCCTGACGACATCTATGAATACGTGCGTCAAACGCGCCCCGCCAATTGACTCCGCCGTCTGCGTTGCCGTCCGCCATTGACCCTGGCAAGTTTTCTGACCCTATTTTTTTTACCAAAAGGGAGCTACGCGTTGTAATTTTAGAAGGTAAAATCCACCTCTGAAATACAGATTCGGCGAAAGGTTTACATTGCTACGTGCAGGCGCCGATTTTTACGGCTCATTTTATATTTAGTCTCGGCATTTCAAACACCCTATATTCCACAAAAGATCCTTTTTCTTTTACCTAAGTTAACCGTTCGTCTAAAAAATATTTTAAAATTAAGTAAAGCCTTTGAAGCCACATTTCTTATAGTTGTTAGTTCTTCTATTTCTTTTTCAAACGTGTTACTGGTATTTTGAGAACTGACGTGCCATATAGCATCATTTGTTTCTCGAATCTTCTCAAGTCGCGCATTTCACGACTTGGTCAGAAGTAGCGCGCATTACAGCTTCACGATGAGTAAATTCTACTCTGATCGGATGTTCTTCTGCCTAGACAATGCTGACTTCCGATTATTCCGTTCGTTGGACACAACCGCTGCACGTCTGCTGGTGTCCGTTCCACTCGGTCCTCTGTGGCAGCAGGTGCAGGGAAGTGCCCAGTGGGAGCGCTTCGGCGTTGGCGTAGCGCAGTTCCTCAGCAACGCGAGCGTTCACGGACTGGAGATACGCGTAGCGCCGAGCCTGTCTCTGAACGAAGACATGCTTGCCATGGTTCATGTCGCCTGCACGGTAAGCGAAAGTAACCCGTTTAAGGTCTGTCCACACACACACACCGTAGCACTTCCTCGGCGATATTATACACACTCACTGGCACCTTAAGAAGCGTAGGGCGTGGCCTATGGAAGTTGTCATGGGTCGTCATCGGTTCTTCTGCTTTCGTATCGGGCAATGTCGGGATCCCATTGGCTGCGGAGTGATAAGAAGATGCTCAGGAATTTTCCCAGCGTTACTTAAACTGTCAGTGACTGTAGCGCACAATTGACCCCTTTCTAAAGTCCACCAAGCAACATTGACGGCCGCCATTGCTTGGACACGAAGCGTCTGATTGGATCCGAGCCCACGCCGAACTCTGACGCGGCGGTCGTGTCCAATACATGCCCAGATCACGTGATCAAGCAATGGCGGACCGGCGATGGCGCGGGCTTTTAGAAAGGGTCTTTTGACTATCTATACATAGATAGTGGAGTGAATTATAACGCTGGTCGCCTTGCTTGGCTCGCATATCGAGGACACGGACGCTATAGACGCTTTACACACGCGCCAAATTACAGCCGCCATTGCTGACCTTCTGTTGTCTTACCGAGATGCCGAGCAACTGAAACGGTAGTTGACGATCCTCTACAAAGGCCGATGCTTTAGAAAATGACCCAGATGAATCTAATATGGCAATAACCTGGACTGCTATGGTAAGGACGAAGTGAAGAAAATGTAATAAGAGGAAACAAAAACTGAAGGTCAGTTATGGCGGCGTCCATGCACAGCTGCTGCAAAGCGGCTATAAGGACGAAGGGACTCTCTACGATAGGGAACAATGAAGAAGGAAAAGCTGCCTGTCTCTTTGACACGTACTAAAGGCGCACTAAATGCAAAGCATCTGTAGGTTCTCGTAACCTGACGTCGTGGGGTCGAGTGGCGTTACGTCACTTGACATGGAGGTACAATGGCACGTGAACACCATGACTTCATCGCGGTGTTCATGCGACGACGTCACGAAGAAACTTTTAAAATGCTGATCGCGTAACGTAAACACCATGACGTCATCAGCGTGATGTCACCATCAAGGCTACATGTCAAGGAGACGGAATCGAAACGACTTGACCCTATAAACGCTATGCATTTATTCATTGTATGAGATAGACCTTTTTTTTATTTTTTAATGCTGAAGCGTTCTTTACCTACCCCCCCTTTCATTTCGTGGACCTTTCTGGCCTTCTAATGCGCAGCTTCCCCGCTAAATTTAGACAAAAATTGACGTCACATGGCCTATGCACCGATTCAATTTCCTCGCTAAATTTATCTGGGAATTTGATGCCACGTGACCTGACTACACCGGACTTACAAAACAATAAGTTTTCTCGCTAAATTTAGCGAAAAAAAAAATGAAGTCAGATGATCTATACACTAATTCAGTTTCCCCGCAAAATTTAGCGGGAAATCTGATGTAATGTGACCTCACATCACGGGACGAACAAACCAGTTCAGTTTCTCCGCTAAATTTAGCGAAAAAATTAACGTCACATGACCTATGCACCGATTCAGTTTCCCCGTTAGATTTAGCGGGAAATTCGATGTCACGTGAGCCGGCGTCACGGGACCTAGAAACCAATTCAGTTTCCCCTCTAAATAAAATGCTAAAAAGCGCCTTTTAACCATTTAATCGATGTGTATCAACTATCTCCAAACCAAAGTTTTATTCCCCTCTAAATTTAGCGGAAAAATTGATATCGCGTGACAAATAAACCATTTCCTATTCCACTTTAAATTTAGCGGAAAATCGGATGTCACATGACCTGACATCACAGAACCTAGGGACCAATTCAGTTTCCCCGCTAAATTTAACGGAAAATTTGACGTCATAGGATCCTACTCCAACCGGCTCTAGGCCTTAGAGGTCATCCTAGAGGTCGTCCCTAAGGTCGTCCTAGACGTCGTCCTTGAGATCGTCTCATACTTCTGTTACACGGGCATCCATAACTACAGTTAAGCTAACTGCAGTTACTCTAAGCTGGAGTTTTGCGCAGCTGCACGGCTGACCAAAATGCGGTTAGCACGAAATCATGGTTGGCGCAAATTGAGCTCCACGATATCAGTTTGAGCTCGCTAACTGATCTGAAGATAGTGACGACCGCAGCACTGCCGTCTATCGAAGCACTAAATATTTAGGAATGCCAGGGGACAAACCTAGAAAGAGCCGTGGAGACAAATGTCGCGGAAATAAACATGCCTCGAAGACAGATATGCAGCAAAACAAATTACGCCATGTCGCCCGACGGTACGAAGCCCGCATTCCTCGGGCGCTGCTATTGATTCTGGTCGATGGCAATGAGGCTTCCCTCATGTTGCCCATGTTTGCATTTATTTTAGGAGTCTTGACAATCGTTTGTCACACACACACACACACACACACACACACACACACACACACGCACACGCACACGCACACGCACACGCACGCACACGCACACATACACAGACACAGACACACATACAGACACACACAGACACACAGACAGACACACACAGACACACAGACAGACACACACAGACACACACACAGACAGACACACAGGCACACAGACACACACACACACAGACACACAGACACACACTATGTGCCTAATTATTCGTTTTAAGCAGTTATAATGGAAATTTAAAGAAAACAAAAAAACGTGTCCTTGATCTGAACACGGGACATTGCAGTTGGTTTCCTTTTGGCTTCAACCATTCTACTGCAAGCAAAATGGCCATGTAACACTATCTCAGTTCAGTTTGGTCATTCCACGGTTAGTGGCTGCTAACTGCCGTTTGTCTAACCACAGTTAAAGCAGGCCGTGAAACTAGGGTACTAGTGGTCGTTCTTAACGTCGTTCTCTAGGACACCGTCCTTGACATCGTCCTAACGCTGTCCTTGACGTTGTCCATGGCCTCGTAACAAAAGAAGGAGGTAAACATGACGAATACTATCGGAATTGATAGACAACAACAATAGTGACTTCTGCAGCCATTTTTTGTTTATCTGGACGTTATGACGTGCCGACCCGGGTGCGAGCAGAAACAGGGAAGGAGTCGCTATATTTGTCGTAGCGCTGGACCATAAAGTTATAGTGCGATCCAATAAGCACTCTGTGTGGTGCATTTTAAAGCAGCGAACTGTGTGTTCATTTGCCGTTTGCAACATTAAAAAAGTACTTATTAGGACTGCCCAAAGAAACGTATATAGAAATCGAATAGTTTAAATCAATATCATATCCAATGAGTAATGCAGCTGTCAGTGTATAAAACGGTCTTGTTTATTAATAAGCTGTGAGTTTAATTCAGTCAAATTCAATTTATCTTTGTTAACACACATAGAGGCGACTGGAGCATCGAAAGAGGTGAATTAATGTCACCTTTCCCAGGCTTGTCTCCGTTTTCTTGGGAAAGACGGACAGGCAATCATTAGGGGAAAAAATAATTACACTTACGCAACAAAGAAAGAAAAAAAGACTAACGCAAAACTTGCAGACGTAAAGAAAAAACGCTCATTGTTAGGATGTAAACACACAGACACAAAAATATTAGGATGTAGACAGAAAAAAATAATTTTCTTCTTAGACTTGGCGTTAGACTTTTTGCATAGAAGCTTTTTTTATATGTCTTTAATAATGGTGGAAGGTTTTGCCTTCACATCTGGGTTTCGTTGTTTGTTCCCCTGTTAGGTACTCTTGCAATCAATTATAGACCGGTTTCTTATTTTGTTCTTTTATGTGGCGGTTATGTTGAATTTTGGCGTACAGCTGAGTTGGAAAAAGTTCGTATTAACGATGCTACTTTTTCTCTTGGCTATTCTGTTAGCTGTTGTTATGCTTAAACTATTTACTTTAGTTTGTATCGTCCAGCCCAACTACGTCATATTTCAACATGGCAACCATAACACCAAAACGATCCATAGAAAGCTTCATTTTGATATATGTATCCTAAAGTTAAGGCGTATCTTAGAAATGAATGACCGTAATGGAAATGCACATTGTTTTAAAAACAATATCGCCAGACAAAATTAGTATGCTACAGGAGAGATGATGCGTAGTCCTTCGAAGAGGGAATTAATTCCCCGTCAACTTTATTTATGAGAGCCGCTGAACCTGGTGTTGGCCTTAATTGTTTAGTTGTTTGATAGTGAAAGGGGATATATGTTCACGAAGCTATTATTTTCTATTAACAGTTCCGATGTATCACAGATTAAATCTCGACACCGTTTTCAGGAAATGAAGTATTCAGACCATGAACTGCTCTTCGTGTTTCGAACACGTTACGAGAGCATCCTCGCCAAGAACGGCGTCATGCAACAAAGCGTAAGGTACGTGCTCCCTGGTTACCCTTTGAAGCAAAGTAAATAACACGATTAATCCACATAGCGCCAAACTCTCGTGAGCTCAGCGCAGAGCTCAATCTCTGCGAACTCGTGCACAGGCTTGAGCCTTCTTTAACCTTCGTCACCGCGAAGATATCATACAATACATCACCCGCTATTGTCTCTGCGATACGCAACACAATCTTGTATGAGAAAGTGCCCGCGAGGGTCAAAACGGAAGTGGGGGAAAGTGCGAGGCTTTCATAGTAAAGTTAACTTATTTTGTTTCTACAATTTTATTTGTGTGACCTAGAATCATTCTACGTTTATTTCGTTGATATATGCTATCGGCTAAGCTCTAGACTATAACCTTACAATTGTAACCGGCCTAAACTTAAAATGTGAGGTGCGAGACTAGTACTGCTATCATTCGTGATGCTTTCGCGGATGCGTTTGATGTCTCGTTCATTCAGCAAAATAGACAAAATTCAGTTGACGTTTCTTGCTGTTCTCCTAAATTCTCCAGTTTTTGTTTAATCTAAAACACTATTTACGCCACCCAGACTTACTGTTTATTTTTTCTTACAATAATCTGTCAAAGTGAGCATTGCTGGTTGACGGGCATGGGACAACACATTATATGAAACGTATACATTTGTTTTGTCATTGATATTAATTTTACTGAAGGACGTGATCAATCAGGTTATATTTATGTGCGTTATATACTGCCATCTAAATTCCGGTTGTTGATGCAGTTGCCCAGACCTCGTAATCTTTCGGACGGAGCACCACGAGCTGAAAAGCAAGGTACTGAGAGCACCAAACCCTTACCGAAGGTACCTGGGAGCGGACATGGCTGAACTCTTTCTGGTGAGCTCGACGATTAAAACCAGGCTTAGTAAACGCAGTGAGCATGCAAGTACGTTCGTCAACATTAGCCGAATAACAGCTGGAACATTCGCAAAAAGCTTACATAGCAGCCCTTAAGCCTGAAGTAAAAAAAGGGCATGTATATTCCCTCTGGTTTTTTAACGAAGAGATTTATAAGGGAGAAATGCACCGCCTCGTCGAGGAAATGTGCATATAGAAACTAGACCCTTCTACGCGGAAAACAAAAACGCTATTATGAAAATAAAGCAGCAAAGGGTAAACGTGATACATTTTGATTTTTCCTGCTGAGTGCAAGCGTCACATTTGAACTAGACAAGAAATCAACGAGAGCATATAAAAGCGCCACTTCTTTTGAAATTCTGAAGCAGGACAAAACGCAGCGGAACATAAATAAAGCGATTATGAGAGAAAAAGTGTAAGTGCACAAACGAGCTCGCGTAAATTTCACACAATTACGAAGAACCCCAAGACTAGGATCCTGCCCTTTATTTTATCTTATAGTCTCGGAGTTTATCGAAGCTAAATGTTTGATTATAAAATTAAGTGTTTCTTTTTCTTTGTAAAACTTCGCAAACCTTTTTTAGGTTTGCGATTGCTATAGTCAGGTGCAAGTTAAAATTGCGCCAAATAAACAGCCCCACGTTCTACCAGGTTATTGAATCACTCCGTGGACCAGCTTGGAAGATCAATAGCAATGTCGAGTTACGTGACATCAGCGCGACGTGCGCCTCAGTAGCGGATTATTTGTTCACTGCGGAGGAACAGCGACTGGTGGTAATGAAGGTCTGGGAGGATACGCTGACACATTCTTTGCTTATATCTGGCTATAGTAGTTTATTGAATAGCACGTACTGCTTCGCATTGATTGTGCGTAAGTAAAAATGAATAAGCAGATCGTTAGCCTGTAAGTTTTTTTTAGTAGACTGTGTTATTTTTTTTTTCTCATAAGGAAGCAAAAATATTTCAATTATAGGTGTGCGAATACCGGTTCTAGCTGAATAGCTTAGTGTAATTCCTAGCTTTAACACTTTTGAGAAAACCGGGTGTTGTGGCTTTTTTCTTGCGTTGGAAAGGTTATGAATGAGGCAGCGCTATTAGATTCTAACCGGAATTAGCAGACCCCATACACCATTGACGCGCAGCTTGCAAGAAAATAGCTGTCCGGTTCACTGTTCCAACATGTTTATTTTCTTAGCAAATGCGTTCTTCTTTTTGTTGTTTATATTTGAAAGAGTTGCTTATTTTCGAAATTGAATGTGAAAATGGTCGTCCCTCCAGAAAATCCCAGGAGGTTTCGAATCGTCGGGATTTCTTATAGGATTTTGTTGGTGACTATATTCATTTTTCTAAGTTTATTTTCCCCCCACTAGGCAGACCTCTACTGAAACGTTCACGTTCAACTATTTCAAGCTGCGTATTACGGTGCCTTCTAACTTTTAACGTTTCCTTTTTCCTCGCCAATACTGTTTGAAGCTTTTCCCAAAGGACTTTCCAATAAAGATACAAACCGAAATCAGATACAAAAACACTGCCTTATGTGCAAAAAAAAAAAAAAAAAAAGAACTCACGATATGCCATTGAGTGAAGCTTCGCACATTGTCGCAGTTTCAAGAACTCGAGAAGATCTCGGGCCTGCGGGGGCCGGTCCGGAACCAGGAATGGTGCTACAGCATGGTCTTGGGCGGACTTCTCTTCAAGTATTACATGGGCCTCAATTTTGGTGACGACGCTCAGTCTGGACCGCAGGAAATCTCCCTGTCCGAGGTTAGTTGCGCACTCCAGGAATTCTCCGTCGGCTATTTTCCCGCAAGGCAGTTAGGAAAAAGCTACGGAAGGAACTCGGCGAATGGCGAGGCTGAAAATAGGGTGTCTGAAGTCACCAGGCTCGGTTTAAAATGAACCGTAAGAATCGACGCCTGCACGAAGCAGTCTAAACTTTTCGTCAAAAATGTATTTCACAGGTCCGTTTTTTCTTGTAAAATTACAAAGCGTAGCTCCCTTTTTGTAAAAAGTAAGGGGAAAAACCTTGCCAGGGTCAACGGCGTGCGGCGACGCAGACGACTGAGTTGAGCGGGATGGCGCGTTTGGCGCACGTATTGATAGATGGTGCCATCTCCTTATCGAGACTGCTCGCGACGACCGTGATTTACTAAAATGACGATAGTCTTCTTGTGTGTACCTTTAATTTTAAAATAAGTGCGGACAATAAAAAAAAAATTGAGTTTAAATAAAAGAAACGCGGTTGCATGAGGACGGCGTTCTTGCTTCTGAAGGGTTTCGTTTGCGCGTCGTCTGCTTTCTTTCGCTGGACTGCCACACCTTCCGACACTGCTCCCGACGCCATCTATCAGTACCTGCTCCAGACGCGCCCTCCCGCTCGAGTCAGTCATCTGCGTCGCCGCCCGCCGTTGACTCTGGCAAGTTTTTTCCCACTATTATTTTTTTACAGAAAGGGAGTTACGCTTTATAATTTTACAAGAAAAAATAAACCTATGAAATACACCTTTGACGACAAGCTTAGATTGCTTCGTGCAGGCGTCAATTTTTACGGTTCATTTTAGATCGAGCCTTGTAACTTCAGACACCCTATAATTGTCTAAACCTAACAAGAAGTCTTTACTGCGTCACCCAGCAAGGTTAAGCGCCATGTTGCATGTTTCCCAGAGTGTATGTTTCAAAATCAGCGAAGGGTATATATATTGACCATATGAGCTCAGCTCCGAGGGTTAATATGCGATCACTTGGGGCAATGAAATCTCTAGCGCGTGACAAAAACCTCACGTTAAAATTGTACCACGTCTACTGCACAATGGGCGCCGTGCAGCTTAACTCGCGGGAAGTAACTTCAGCTAATACCTCTGTGGCGTTCCTGACCGCTCATTCACATTGGAAGCGGATCTGCGTTCGCAAAGCAGCTGCGAACGCGGTTGTATAAAGATCCAGTACAATTGCACGCGCATTTGATGACATCAAATGCGCGTGCAATTGTACTGGGTCTTTATACAACCGCGTTCGCAACCGCTTTGCGAACGCGGATCCGCTTCCAGTGGGAATGAGCGGTGACTGTTTACACCACGTACGGATCAAGTACTGTACAAAACAGCCGAGAAACGTAACTAAAACATTGTACTAAATCAAGAGTCTGAGCCTGGGAACGGCGCTGGTTAGCTCCCTACCTCGGGGAGGGGTCATTCCTTCTCAGCTCGGGCTCCTCGATTTTTTTTTTTTCCGTGTCTGAGTTTTTGCTTCTTCTTTTCACACCGATGGCCTCTCGGTTTTTCCGGTCTTCATAAACTTCAGGTGAACACGTCTGGTGAAAACCTCTGGCAGTCCCACAGGGAACGCACCGCAACACCTCCTAGAAGAAACGGCTTGCGCAGGCCCACTAACTGGGGTTCCATAAGCCCAGATTTTGCACTGAAGTCATTGAGGGTGACTGTGGTTAAGGAACCTATTATCTGGCAAAAATAATTACGTAACTTACAATGTACAATATTAACTTTCTTATTTAAAGTTTAGAACGAGGTAAACGTTAATAAAATAAATCTGGTAACTCTTCAAAGAGATAGTATCATATATTACGCCGAGATTTGATTGAGTTTAGATGCATACGCTTTAAAAAACATGTTATTCTGATCTCCCATCCGTTTGGCAGCTGGAAGTGATTTCCTACCAATTACGCAGATGCGTGAGGAGCAGTCCAGAAAATTGATGGGTTAAAAATGTTGAAGTTGGCGATACCGGAAAGAAAGCTTGTTATAGTATATTACGATCGCAATAAGTATAAATTTGTGTCCAGATATTTAAATGTAATATGACCCAGCGCAGATATCTATAACGAATTAGTACTTGCTGTCCTTGGCGCACTCCAATTTGCAGGTTTGTGGATATTAAAAATGAACTGAATTGTAATCAACGACATTTACAACGGGTTTTTGATAACAACGCCCAGAATAGATATTTTTTCCCTGACAGTCGAGACTGTGGAGGCTGTACTGTCACGCTAGATACAATTCGAATAATCAGTGTCAAAACTTACCAGATACATATAAATTGTTTGGCTCATTACAGATTTGTGAGCGTTTTTCGGTGAAGCGTTTCGAGGATCTACGCACTCTATCCTTCTATTCGATGGAGCACACCAAACACACCTGGGTTGGTTTCGATGACGATTGGTCCATTCTTCGCAAGGCAAGTTGTCTAAGCACTATGAGTGTCGTGGTGTAGAAATTTAGCAATGCGAAAAGGCGATTTAAACTACGAACTGCTGGTTATTCTGGCAGGCTCGCCAAATTCTGAAGTTATAGGTGCGGCGGTAACCCGACCAGGTGGAAGCACACCCGGCAACGTCCCGAGGGTGCTACTGTCGGGTGAAACATCAGCTTGGCGGTGTGCAACCAAAGCGGCAACATCCGGCATGAACGAGGCATTCGGCAGTGATCCGAAGTAGCCGCTGGTGGGAAAGATTATCGACTTCGGCGGTGTCCCGGAGCAGAACATCCCAGACCAGCCTCAAGGAACACCCAAGGAACATCACGGGGAACGACTTCGGCGGTGTCCCGGAGCAGAGCATCCCAGACCATCAACAAGGAACAGCACGCACCAACAACCAAGCGCTGCTGAAAACAAGACAGCACCAAGACCTTCAACCACACAAGGACGGACTGAAAGTGAGACAATTTCTGACCTGTATATTTGTGTATAGCTAGAACGTTTCTTATTTTTTTGTTAATTTTTTTAATATATATATATATCTTGATCAAACCTCACGGTGTGACTGAATTCCTCCTTCGGCAGTTTGACCTGAACCTATAACTTCACAATTTTAATAATGGTAAAAAAGCCTATTAGAGCCATCAGGCTTTTTTACCATTGGCGCACTGATATCTTAATATCATGTAACCTCCCTTCGACCACCGGCATCATTATGGGCATACTCATCATTGGGGCTTTTTTCACGGTGCCTTTTGGTATAGTGCGTTGGCACACATCGCAAGACCGTATGTAACGTTTCACGTCGCCTTGCATACCAGGCCAAAAGAATTCTTCAGCTACCCTAGCGACCGAGCTCTTTACCCCCTGATGGCCCGACATTATTCCATCGTGAGCCAATTCCATTAAAGTCTTTCTAAATACCGTTGGTACAATGAAAATTGTGAAGTTATAGGTTCAGGTCAAACCGCCGAAGGAAAAATTCAGTCACACCGTGAGGTTTGATCAAGATATATATATATATTTAAAAAAAATTAACAAAAAAATAAGAAACGTTCTAGCTATACACAAATATACAGGTCAGAAATTGTCTCACTTTCAGTCCGTCCTTGTGTGGTTGAAGGTCTTGGTGCTGTCTTGTTTTCAGCAGCGCTTGGTTGTTGGTGCGTGCTGTTCCTTGTTGATGGTCTGGGATGCTCTGCTCCGGGACACCGCCGAAGTCGTTCCCCGTGATGTTCCTTGGGTGTTCCTTGAGGCTGGTCTGGGATGTTCTGCTCCGGGACACCGCCGAAGTCGATAATCTTTCCCACCAGCGGCTACTTCGGATCACTGCCGAATGCCTCGTTCATGCCGGATGTTGCCGCTTTGGTTGCACACCGCCAAGCTGATGTTTCACCCGACAGTAGCACCCTCGGGACGTTGTCGGGTGTGCTTCCACCAACTGGTCGGGTTACCGCCGAACCTATAACTTCACAATTTGGCGAGCCTGCCAGGATAACCAGCAGTTCGTAGTTTAAATCGCCTTTTCGCCATGCTAAATTTCTACACCACGACAATGAGCATACTGTAGAACCAAGATCACGTTCATATATCTGCAAATGTTTCCCCCATAATTTATTTTCTTATGGCCACAAAGTGAGTTCTAGTTTAAAATGTCAAATTATAGTAAAGCTAAATAAACGTTCTGTGACATTCTGAACTCGATGTCGCCAGAGCCCTGTATTGGGAGGGTTTGGCTATTCATTGGTTTGAATAGTCGACCATCTCTTGGCCAACCAGAAACCGCGAAACAGCCCCTAGCGGTGGTCGTGAGCTCTAAAAATCCGATTTGATTAATTTAAGCCGTTTTAGCGTCGCTAAACTAAAAAGTTACTACTCTTGCTGACTGAAAACTTGGCGCATGTGAGGTTTTCGTCACGTCCATATTCAATGGTAGAATAAACGTACGTGCGCTCCAAACCAGAGCAAACTGTCACTGAGACGCCGAGATGGACGCTTCTATTTGACGGCTTACATGTTGTTTCTAACATTCTGACGTCGCGGTCTGTTGATTGATCGACGCTGTGTCACACTTTTAGTTTACGCTCTAACCGCGGGGGAAATATTAGGCGCTGGCGGCGGCCTTTGCTCTGCCCATTGGCCACACTCTCCCAATATACGGCTCTGGGTGTCGGGTGAAACGAACGCCAATGACAACAGCTAACTTCTCATGACCCTGAGTGTATTGTAAATAAGTAAATGAAAAGATAAGCTGCACTCTGGGTTTCAATTTAGGCCAACCCTATCGGACGCTACGATCCAAAACGGCATCGTCATGGTGCTTGTCCCCCCCCCCCCCCCCCCCCCCCCCCCCCTTTGCAGATTTGCTACCACCAACTAAACCAACCTCGCAAAGTACAAAGCGCAGGATCACGGCGTTTTCATTGTGCTTGATAGGCTTAGTTGGTGACCGCAAAAGCACAAAAAGACCGAGCACCGTGATGATGCACTTTTGGTGCTGCCTGATTGGCTCCGTCTGATTCCAGTGCGGACTGCGGTCGCGCTTAAAGTGAAACGGAGTATAGACTTTTGCATCGCTTATCACCGGGGTGAATAATGCTGAGCCACTGAGCTGTGGGCGCATGCGCGGTGTCGGAAACATCGCACAGAACAACAGCGCATGCTCAGAAGACGTTCCCCAGCCCAGCAGACAAATATGCCAGCCCGGAGAAGGCGACTTTTGCAAAGGTCTATAGGCATGAGTGCGTTCTCAAGCCAGCCCCCAGTTCGGGCTCATCAGGTGAAGCTTGAGAGGGCCCGAGGTGACTTTGCCTAGATGCCACTTGTGGGAACCACGTGTATCCCGTCTCCCTATCTAGGCCTAGCTCAGGCAGGCCGTGGGGCGCCGCCATGTCGGGGCGCGTCCCGGATGCGAGGTGAGGTCATATTCCCTCGTGGGACGGCCCTCCCTCCCCTTCTCGGGTGGCTGCCTCACACACCTCCTCTGTGACCTTGAGATTTGGACGCTTCCGCCCCTCCGGGCAGAAAACCTGGTACCTTCACCCCGGGCATGTCCATTCCTGCAGGCTAAATAAGCCGGCCCTAAACAACGGCTGGGGGCTTTTGTTGGTGGAGGGCCTTGCTCCACGGAGCTCTATTCGAGGCCCTCCCCCTTCCCGTGATTATGTCTGTTGCGGCAGCGCGGAGTTTAACCGGTGATCCTGTAACATTGAGGCAGCGCCGATACTTCGGACCTATTGAGAACAAAGTGTGTTAGCAAAGGAAGTCAATAAAGAGGTAATTCTAAGGACCCAAGGAACCTACTGTGTTCCTGCGTGGTAACCCCAAGGGGGGAAAACCAAACCACACACTTTGCTCTATACTTAGCTCACACCGACGCCCGAGCTGCTGGTGGGACCTCGTGACTTCTAAATTAACTGGTATACCGTTACAGCGCTCGGAGTTCAGGTTCGAACACTTTAGAGGAAGAAACGTGAAATTGAAGACGCGCCCCATCACATAAAAGAGCTCGAAGATTTCAATAAAATAAGACGCTACAACCGAAAAAAAAACATAAGATAAGAAACGGCAATGTCCATTACAAACCCCGATGAATACCGCAGAAACATTTTTTATCTGTAAAATGGAAATAAATATATATATATATATATTTTTTTTTTTTTTTTTTTTCTTGGGCGGTTTTTGTGCAGGCGGCTCTTGTGGAGCAGAGGGAGGGCCGTCCGCTCTGCGTGGCCGTTTTTCACGCGAACCTGGATGACCACCGGCAGGCGTGCGGGCTCGGATACGCCCCGGTGCTGCACAGGCTGCGACAGTTCATCAACAACGTTTCCTACAACTCGCCGATGGTAGTCGCCTGACGCGTTGCCTTCGCAACTCTAGACCCGCATCAACCTCACAGGACTTCCGCACATCCTTTAAAACCTATACTTTTTTTGCTTCAAAATAATATCGGCGTTAAAGCCGTCGAAGATGTACACTCTAAGAAATATGGAGCGTCGGCCTTTCTGCAAAGTGCTTGTGAGTGTCAATCGCTGCAATCTACGGAGGGCGCTCGGCGATTGACGAAGCTAATATTGTGTTTATAACCCCCAGAAAACGGTCTGCGCTTTGACACTGAACACGGTGAAACGTGCAGTGCGCCTCAAACTTAACGCCGCCACGGCATTTACCTTTTCTGACAGTTCCATTGGCGGCCAATTGAATTACCTGAATAATGCTTGGATTTCAGATTTCTATCCCATCCTGTACGTCACGCTCAGTACCAACGCGCGGACGGTTCCTTTTTAGGTGTAAACACATTACTAGTTCTGTCATCCGCCAAGTTACCTCCGGATTGGAACGATTGGTTCTTCCGATTGCTTTGTGGGAGAGCAGACGCTCCAGATGTCTTAGATTGATGTACAATGCGTATGACACTTCTCCATAATGCGGGAGCGTGCGTCTTTGTCCTGGCTAACGTTCGACTGGTAAAATTCGCAGCAACTACCCTAGTCACGTGGGGCAACATGAATGAGCCCGCTCGATGGGTGTCCGTCCCACTCCATCGGGGGTGCCGAACACGGGGGGCCTGCTATGGCGCTCTTCGGAAGCGTCATAAAGCCCCATCAATACAACGCAAAAATCACAATGCCTCGGTTACATAAGACGAAACCTAAAATCGGCTCCCCCATTCGTGCGAAAATTGGCTTATGAGACATTCATTCGACCCAAATTGGAATATGCTGCGGCCATTTAAAGCCCTCACCAAATATACTTATTAAATCATCTCGAGACAATTCAAAACCGCGCTGCAAAGTTTTTTTTTTTTTTTTTTTTTTTTTTTAAGAAATATGATTGGTTTGTTGGCGGATCCGCCCTAAAGAGCGAACTGAACCTTCCTTTACTAAAGATCCGCCGTAAGATAGGGCGACTCTGTATCACAAAATTTACTACTACCTCCCTGCGCTTCGAGACCCTCCCCTCCTACTTCCAGGCGATCTTCATCGCGGCTAAATCACCCGTGTCACGTTTCCCGAATCTCAGGCAGCATTACCCATTTTAACTCCTCCTCCTTCTCTCGTACTATTGTGCATTAGAACGACCTCTCCCGACTTATTTTAACCCAGGCGGATACCACCGCATTTCACAATGCCCCTTGTTCTCATTTCTGTTAATCCCCACTGTGCCGTTCTATTTGTTTGTCTTGTGCTTACTGGTTCCCATCTATCAATGTTTTCATCCCCTTATGCTCCCCATGTACCCAGACTAATTTGTGTATTGCCGTTGCTCGTGGCGATGCCACGTTGTTTTGCAGCACCCCATGTATTCGCATATGTCGTTGTTACTGGTTTATGCTCTCGCGTTATGTACCCCACTTATGTAATGCCCTCAACGAGGGCCTTTACGGGAACTTGAAAAAATAAATCGAATAAATAAATAAAGCCCGAGGTTTTTATAAAAATATCGTCACCAAGAAAAAAAATCTGATTGTAATGCTGTGCCATTAAAAGTATTCACCAAAACTCTTATTAAGCAGGCGCGATGTTAGTCCTCGAGCGGGCTGTTTCAAGTTGCCCCACGTGACTAGATTAGTTGCCGCGGACGCCACTGGTGAGCGCTCGCCGGTGAGTGCCCGCGCTCACGCGTTAGGGACAAGAGCGAGAATTCGAAAGAAATTATTAAATACAATGCAACGTAAGATATTAAACAGTATACAAATTCGTAAAGAAAACAAACGGTGTTCCGGTTTTTATTTTTCAGGGTTTATTTAATAAATGTAGTTTTATTTTTCTGGCTGTTTTCCGCCCGGTTCCAGAGGTCTCCCCTGTCCTCGCAAAATGTTTTAAATACTGAATGAACTGAAGTTAAACTTCAAAACTAATGCAATTACTTATTTTTAAAAGCTTTTCCGCGCAATTTATTTCTGAAACTGTAATTAAGTTCCTAACATTTTTTTTTTATACGGGAACTCATTTGTAAGTGTTTTTGTCCGCCTTATTACTTTTAATTTTTAAACTGCGGGCATCACTTGTTTTAGAATGCTACCTGCTATATTTATTAATGCGATGGGTACTTTCTTTTTTATAGCTAAAGTTTATTTTTTCAATAATATGATAAAAGAAGAAGAAAATTAAAAAAAAACTCCTAAATGGCCCTTATGAGGATCGGCAATATTTGGAAATAAATAAATTATATTAGAAGTCCACATGAGGGAATGAGTATGAATCGAAAATATGCACATTTATTCCAAACTGAGCGCGTAGGTGTGGCTCATCTTTTTGCCGTATTTACACAGCATGGGTATGGCCCAAGTGGGAATGTCGAAAAGCAACTGCCGACAGATGTTACGACCGCGCTCATAGTGCAGGCGTGGAGAGTGCGGCGCGAGGTTGCTCAGAGCAATGGGCACGGCGGCGCAAGTCTTCTAAATCCGGATCTCACTCAATACAGGCGGTAAATTCACGCCCCTCAAGTGCGCCTGCTAAAATGTTAGACAATATACTATTGCATGCGTGCTTTTCACTACATTGCTCCTTCAAAAGAAATCAGCAAGTGATAAGTAATATGAATTTAATAAACAAGTTGCTGCCTCAAGCTTGCTTTCTTGTTTCAAGAAGTCTCTCAATATTGTAGCGGTCAAAGGGAGCGGTTAATGTTAGAGATCTTTTAGCAAACCGTTACCGGGTTCTGTGTATCGCACTACCCGAGCCATTGAAGCATGCTTTTAAGCGCGCGCCTCGTGGTCACGGTATCATCCGGGCGCGCGCGCTGAACAACATGCGTCAAAGGCTCCGGTAGTGCGGTACACAGTAACGGTTTGCTTCAAGTGCCTATTAGCGGCGAGATGCTTCGGTGGCGCCCTCCTATGGTTCCCCCTTGTGACGTCATTACCTTGCAAACAACAAGTTCGATGGTGTTTGTAAATAGCATGGTGGAAGCTTGAAATCATTGCGCTCTCAAAGGAACACTGTCAACACCGTCGAAATTAAAGTTCTTTCATTCCTCTTATTTCCGTCGATGGTATACCCTTTCCGACGTCATAGTCAGCTTTTGGGCCAATCGTGGAAGGCCGACCACAGCGACGCTTTCGGTCGCGCACGTCGCCAATAGAGGGTATTCACTGGCGGCCATAGCTAAGCGAGTGCTGATGGCGAGCTTCGACAGTTATTTTGCTATGTGCATTTTACACCATGGAGAATGCAGTCTCAGCAACTTATGAATATGAGCTCGTTCTGAGCGTGCGCTCTAAACGGCCGCCACAAATATGGCGTCCAGTGAATACACCTTATTGTACCGGTTAAAGGGGGAGTGGGCTAGAGAACACCATCTCGAAGCACATGTAGCGATGATCCTCGCTGCAGAACCCAGGAATACTGGGTTCAATACCCACACATGCCCGTTTCGATCTGGACGAGCATTGTACTGGGGTGCGGTTGTGTATAGCTACCGCATGATGCGCGTTAAAGACTCCAGGTTAGCAGTCGTATTGCACTGGTTAAATATCTCACCTGCAGTCGGTAAGAATCTCGCCATGTCTGGGAGCCAAAGCTTCTGTATAAGCAACTACCAACTAATTTGTTTAAAGAGAATTTTGAATTTCTTTTAGAAAAGGTGTTTTCCGACTTTCTAGGAACCTGTCCATATGCTCAATGTTTTTATACAGTTATATTAAGCTTATCATTTTATATAATATAAATCAACAAAACCAAAATTGATGTTCGGATTTCCCACCGTACTACGTTTTTTGAAAGAATTGTCCTGTAAACTTTAAAATTTTGTTTTTTTAGAAAACAATTAATTTATGCCCTATTGTAAATAGCACTTCAGCCCTGATGCGTTATGGGACCTTCCCAGCCTTCTGACCGCTTCATCCCTTCAAGCCAATTCAGCCCATCAAATCCCCCAGCCCTTAAAACCCGTTCAGACCTTCAGACCCCCTCAGCAGTTCAACCCTTTCGACACCCAAATGAATGTTAACAATAGACCAAAAATGTAGTTGAAACGTTATTGGTAGTTTATTTCAGACATTGAGTTGTACATGCACTTTGTAAGTCAAAAAGACGATAACACCAACGTGTGCTAAAATCCGGGTGCAAGCAGCTGAGACAAAAGAGGTCGGACTAAAGATAAACAACCAAGTTCTTTGTCACGAAAAAAAATCTTTCAATGTACTCGCAACCAGTATACAAAACAATACACCGCATCAGTTTTGATGGCGCTTCGGGCGAATGATTGTGATAGGCCAGTAAAACTTGGCGGCCTACTTACGATGAAGTGACGGCGAACTCGACAGCGCTTCAAACAAACAGCAGTAGGTGACAGAGATCACACTCCCGCTGATCGCGTGCCAGAAACTGGCCGTCAGCACAAATGTCTCGCACATGAAAGAGAGGACGCCCGGAAGTCGTGGCGCTCGGTGAAGTTCGCCGGTTGTGCGGGACGGAACGGAGCTGGTGACTGAGGTCAACGGAGCCGTCCGTGTACAGCTCCATCAAGTCTGCTCGAGACGGGGCTGGCGGGGGCCGAAATTATATTCCGTGAGCTGGCGGCGACTCCGCTGGCGTCGATGGTCGTTCTTTCGAGTCTCAGACTCCCGCGGGGCCCTTCGCCTCCTCCAAAGCTGGACTACACGCCACCGCTCGCCTGCACAGGGGCGTCCCTCGCAGCCGACCGTCGATTTTCATTGGGTCACCGCACACTGAAGTATCCCTGGAACCGAGGACGCAAATCGTTTGGCCAAGCTGGTTTACGTGTGACCACCGTCTGCTACTATCGCGAAAACAGCGACCGCACGGAGGGTTCACTCCTCGACCTCGACTTTGACAAGCTCGCGCCGCAAGCGCTGCTCGAGCGGTGGCTCTCCTCGCCAAATCCGCAC